ATATATATATAAATGCCACGGTTCTGCTCTGGTCAATAAAGGATCCTTTGGAGATATGTAAGTGGTGGTCTTCCTTAAGGGGCCTCAAAGTAGTGGATATACTCTTATCTCAGGCCTTCCTCCAGTGAGTGGTGTTAGCTAGCCTCTTTTGGATCTTTAGACTTCCGGGGCCAAATTCCCATCTCTGGCTCAGGTAGTGCCAACACCAAGTTTTCCACCACCCAAATGAATCCCCCAGTCGGGAGCACAGGGCCCAAAGGAGGGAAAGTAGGTACGCCTTAAAAACAAGGGAGCGTGAGAAGTACTGAACCTGGGGCACTGGGAACTGAAGGGACTGGGGAGGGGGATGGCCAGGATTCTTGACAGCTACACAAACCACCCTTAAGCCCAGCAGTAGATTCTTCCATCTCTCCTCCTCCCTCTAGCCAGTGGAATCCTTTAGAACAGGACCTCCTCTCCGCCCAGCTTCTTGGGTATGGCTTCTGATGGGTACACGCGGAACACGTCGGGGCGGTATGGGCTCTATCTTTGCTACAGGGAAGAACATAAAATCTGGGTCCAGGGCAGACCTGGAGTGGAGGTAAAGGGAAGTGGTAATCCCGGGAGCCCGGAAGTCCCTGGAGACTGAGACCTCGTCTCCCCCCCACCCCCACTTGCGTGATAGGACCTACTAGGCCACATGACTCGGGCACTATTGCCTCCCCACGTGTAAGGGTACAGGGCCCCAAGATGGCTGCCAGGCCTCGAGGTCTGACTTTTGTATGTCACTTCCGTACCGGCGAGAACGGCGGGCCCTTCAGCCAATGGGGCCGCGGGGCGGGTCTTCACCATGACGAACATATAAATTGCCCAATGGCGGCTAGGTACCAGAGCCCCTACCCTCTAACGTCACGCTAAGTTGCTGAGCGCCGGCAGGCGGGGCCGAGGCGGCCAAGCCAATGCGATGGCTGGGGCGGGGCCGGGCGCTCTATAAGTTGTCGATAGGCGGGCCCTCCGCCCTAGTGTCTAAGGATCATGTCTGCGAGTCAGGATACCCGGTAAGAAAGCCATTTGGGAGAGGTTGTGGCTACTTACCCTGCCGCTATCTTCCTGAGGGCCCCGCCAGGGGGAGCTGAGGCCCACCGCCCTAGGCCTCCCGGGGTAGCGGGGGAAACCGAGCCGGGAAAAGCCGTCCGGGGGGACCTGAGAAGGAAAATCCGCGGCCGACGCTACCACCCAGGGCCTAGTCAGAGGGGGACAGGCTGGCTTTCGGGGCCTAGCGTACGAAGTTAGTCAAGGGGCCGCGGACCCGGAGTGGTACGATGCTCGAACCCTCGGCGGTGAGTGGTGAGACTAGGTAGCGACCTAGCATGGGAAAAAAAAGCGGCGCGGCTCTGCGTGGCCAGAGTCGGCCAATCCAGTTCTCTCACTGACGGGGGTAGAGCTCGCGTGCCCTTGCTGTTCCGGAGGATTCTGACGGTACCACTCGCTAAAGGCGGGGGTGCCGGGGTCCTCAAATCCAGTTGCTTCGCGGGTGAAATCTGGGTCGGGGGGAAGAAGAAACCAGCCATTCAGTGTGCTGGTTTTCTTGACGGCCAGGACTGAGCCTAACCCCGAGGAGCGGTCGAGTGAGGCGCCAGGAGCCCACCCGGCGCCGGGCGGGCGGGTCCATTTTGCCGCACAAGCCGGGCAATTGGCAAACTGCGGATGGGCAGGTCCACTTCGGGGGTGAGCGGCCTGAGGTATGGGAGGGCGGCGCCATTTCGCGACGGGGGCGGGCAGGGTGTGGATTGTTCCGTGGAGGGGGGAGACGCCGCCGGGTGGTCGAGGGAGCGAGCACATGGCTGCCTGAGGCTTTCCCCTCCCCCAGTCTGCTTCGCTTCTGAGTGTTGTGCAATCTCCCCTTTCGCTCGCTCGGCTGGGGCCTCATTGTGCGCGAGTCCGCCACCGCCCGCGGCCTCCCACATCCGGGCACCGCCAGCAGGGGGGGATCCGCTGGAGGGAGTGGGGGAGGGCGCGGGCGTAATGACGTGAGGGGAAGGGGATGTCCTACTCTCCAATCTGGTATGTGAAGGGCGGGACTTCCGGTGCGCTGATGCCGTGGTGGGAGGTGCACGCTTGGGCTTTGAGCAAGCCGGGCTCAGGACACGTGGACCCGGTGGCAAGCACCATATCCGGGCTCTGTCAGCACGGCGGTACACTTTCTAGCCTCTGGGTTTTCAAGGAGGGTTACCCCATCTTGTCGGGGGCGGCCTCGCCTGAGCTGCTTCTGGAATGGGACATAAACCTAACTCAAGTTTTCAAGCATTCCCGCTGAGTCGTCTGGGAACTGGTGGGAGTTGGGTCGGGGAATGAAGGCTGGTAATATGCAGGGCCGGTTGCTCGGAGAAAGATCCTCAACTGTTAGGATTTTTGACCTGGCTCCGGCAGGGGACAAAATGTATGCTTTAATCGACAGATCTAGAGACAGTGGCCCCGATGGAATGGAGCCCGAAGGCGTCATCGAGGTGAGACTGGACCCCTGCCATCACAGCTTTTCATTCATTTCTGAGAAAGGCAGTTCCTGGTTCCTACGGTGATCATTCAGTAACTTAAGTTTAAACTAAAAGCAGAACCAGAGAGTTGAGGCAAGTACTTAAGTCCCATTCCAAGGGAAGTCTGAGTCTTTATAGTGGCCTGCAGAAAGTCTTGTGTTCTAAGAGTATGCCATCCAAATTGGGTCTTCTCCTCCCTTTTTACAGTTGGCAAGTAGTTTCCTAGACCATCGAAGCCAGGTGGCTTCCCTGGAGGGAGGAGGGGTCGTGGACTCTGCGTTGTCAGTGCAGGCACGAGGTCTTATTTACTCTAGTGCTACCCCACCTTTCACTTACCAAGCTTTAATTTTTTCGATTGCTACAGAGTAACTGGAATGAGATTGTTGACAGCTTCGATGACATGAACCTCTCAGAGTCCCTGCTCCGAGGCATCTATGCCTATGGTTTTGAGAAGCCCTCTGCCATTCAGCAGCGAGCCATTCTTCCTTGTATCAAGGGTGAGAGTCCCAGAGCCGATGCTGGACCCCCTCCCTGACCTGAGTGGCACCTGGTTGGGGATGCTCATCTCATATCATCCAGGAACAAAGTGTCTCTTTGTTTATCCCAGCTTGGTTTTAGGTTCATGCCTGGTTCATGGACCCATGGGTTGCAGGGGCTTTAGAGGGGGACTTCCGCTCGATAAAGTAGTATTTTAGCGTGCTCATGCTTGTTTCTGTAGTCTTATCTGTAGGCCAACTTCCAGACCTGTTCCCATTTCATAACTATTGTTAAAAGAAAAAAGCAAACCCGTTGCCGTAGAGTCGATTTCAACTAATAGTGACCCTATGGGACAGAGTAGAATCGCCCCATACGGTTTCCAAGGAGTGCCTGGTGGATTTGAACTGCTGACCTTTGGTTAGCAGCCATAGCTCTTAACCACTACACCACCAAGGTTTCCAACTATTTTGTAGTAAGGTAAAAAATAGCAAAGCATTTAATGCTTAGCACATAGTTCCATTTATTGGTTGCTTGCTTTCATTAAACAGGTGCCAGGGCTTTGAATGTTCCATGATCTGTGTGCTGTCTACCACATTCAGTTGTCATTTGTCTAGGTTATGATGTGATTGCTCAAGCCCAATCTGGGACTGGGAAAACTGCCACTTTCGCCATATCAATTCTGCAGCAGATTGAATTGGATCTAAAGGCCACGCAGGCCTTGGTCCTGGCTCCCACTCGAGAACTGGCCCAGCAGGTGAGAGGATGGCTTTTTTGCCTTCGCGTGAAGGACTGATTTAGAAATGATTAGCATAATCCAGAATTCAAGAAAGGTGTGTTCCCAACCACCGCCCCATTGGAAGGAGAACTGAAGTGTAGGCTAGGTGGGGTGGGGGAAGACAAGGTGACCTAATTTCAGGAAAATGGGTTGTCAGGTTAATTACAAGCTCATTCTTACCCAAACACAAGTACCACTTCCTCCACCCATTTCCTGAGTCAGATGGGACAGCTGTTGGATGGAGTCTGGCTGGCAGAGCAAGTTTAGTGGCTGTTTCATGAACAAACCCCTGGCTATGGGCAAAGAGACACCTGATTGGTGGTGGTGCTCTTATATCAGTCAGGGGCAGAGCAGACTTGCAGTCCTTTGTTCATCCTAGCTTGATGCCTGGGTTGTGGCCAGAGCTGTTTCATGCCTAGGGCACATAAAATTCTAATGTTTAACTCTTAATTTCTGGGTAAAAATAATCAGAAAGTTCTAATAGAACTTTATCTTAGGGCCTTTATGTCTGCAAAGCATGCTTTTCAAGAGTGAATATGCCACCTAGCTGAGGTTCTGTTGCTGGGGTGCAGTGGAATGAAGATATATCATTTTAAGACTGGTTACTATGAAGTGTGATAAATGTATCACAGTTGGCTTTCAGAAAATTAATTTAGGGGTCCAACTATCCAGAGTAAAAAAGAAAAGTATGTTAAGAGTTTTTCTTTGAGAGGCACTATTGTTAATCTGTAATCAGACTGAGTTCAAACACGTCTCTGCCACTTTTCTGGCAGTATGATCTATAGCGGATTTAACCTGCTTCTGTTTCTCATTTATAAAATGTTTTAATAGTGTTTACTTCGGGGTTGTTGGGAGGAGTAAATGAGAAACACTCAAATCGGGCCTGGCACAGTTGCAGCTAATATATAAGCACTTATCTTTCTCTGGGTTCAGATACAGAAGGTGGTGATGGCATTAGGAGATTACATGGGTGCCTCCTGCCATGCCTGCATTGGGGGCACCAATGTACGTGCTGAAGTGCAGAAGCTACAGATGGAGGCTCCCCATATCATCGTGGGTACCCCGGGCCGTGTGTTTGATATGCTTAATCGAAGATACCTTTGTGAGTACCTTCTCCAGGTTTTCCAGTCCCCAAGGTCACTTCCCCCTTAGTGCATGCTTTCCAAGTCTTTTCAACTTAAGCCACGGTTCCATTCCTGAGGGTGCTAGTTTTCCTTTCTCTGCAAGAGCTGCTCTGTGATGAACCCCATGCGTGTCATCTGAGCCTGGCATCCCTGTTCTCAGCCCAGGTAGTGTTCTACTTCCCAGGGCTGTTGTCTGACCTGGTAGGGGTCAAGGCAAAGGATCAATCGTAGCATTCTGAGAGCAGACCACCTGTCCTGTCTGTCCTCTTTTCTTGTTGTTTTATCAGGAGATGGTATTTTTAACATAAGTATTACTTGTTTCCTATAGCTCCCAAATACATCAAAATGTTTGTACTGGATGAAGCTGATGAAATGTTAAGCCGTGGATTCAAGGACCAGATCTACGATATATTCCAAAAGCTCAACAGCAATACTCAGGTGAGAAAGACATTTACAGAGACTTGCTTGTGTAGCTGATAATTCCTATATAGATAATAATGCAGTTAGAGTAAAAGCGAGTGCAAAAGGAACGATAAAGAATTCCGGAGTCTGACTTAAAGTTGTTATGTGCGCTGACTTCTGTTTTATATGTGACTAGGGAAGGGGGAAGGAGCGCCAGTGGCACAGTGGTTAAGCACTTGCCTGCTAGTTGAAAGGTGTTGGCAGTTTGAACCTACCACCCACTCTGCAGGAGAAAAGACCTGGTGATCTGCTGTTGTAAAGATTCCAGTCTAGGAAATGTATGGAGCAGTTTTGCTCTGTTCTATAGAATTGCCAGCTTGGAATCTGCTTGACAGCACAAGACAGGGAAGAGGAGGCAGGTGTTACATACTGTCTGCCAACCCCAAAGATGATCTTTTTTCCAATAGGTAGTTTTGCTGTCAGCTACAATGCCTTCTGATGTGCTTGAAGTGACCAAGAAGTTCATGAGGGACCCCATTCGTATTCTCGTCAAGAAGGAAGAATTGACCCTGGAGGGTATCCGCCAATTCTACATCAATGTGGAACGTGAGGTGGGGCCTAGTACAGGAGGCGGGCCTGGTAATAAGTTGTTGGGTATAGCCCCTGACTGATTTTCTCTCCCCCCGCCCCCCAGGAGTGGAAGCTGGACACACTGTGTGATTTGTACGAAACCTTGACCATCACGCAGGCAGTCATCTTCATTAACACCCGGAGGAAGGTTGATTGGCTCACTGAGAAGATGCACGCCCGAGACTTTACTGTCTCCGCCATGGTGAGTTTTTCTTGCCGTGTCCCAGCTACCAGCCAGATGTTGGCAAATCTGTTTCTTTTAGCTTCTGTACGCGTGTATCTGTCTGTCCCAGGGTCCCACTTAAAGCCAGTCTTCCCAAAACCCATGTGCCTACCTGCTACATCCTTCTGTTTCCTATTCTAGCATGGAGATATGGACCAAAAGGAAAGAGACGTGATCATGAGGGAGTTCCGTTCTGGTTCTAGCAGAGTACTGATTACCACTGACCTACTGGTGAGTAGAGGGAAATTTGGAGAAGACTGGGAAGAAGGGAAAATCCAAGGTGATTCCCTCTCCAAGGGGCCAGCTAGTGCCTCTCTCAGGAAAGTAGCAACTTGGAATAAAATCTGGCATGCCCAAGGTCTTCCGGGGAGAAGGGGATGTCTTTCCTTTTGCCTTCTTTGGCTGCCTACATAGATACCAAAGTTCCTTCTAACTGGATTGTCCTTTTTTCATCCATCTGCTGAGGTTGTTCTCTTTCTTGATTTAGGCCAGAGGCATTGATGTGCAGCAGGTTTCTTTAGTCATCAACTATGACCTTCCCACCAACAGGGAAAACTATATCCACAGGTAAGTGTGGATTTGGATACTTAACCTCTTATCTGCCCAATCTCTGACCTGAAGCTTCTGATTTTGCCCACTCCCTTTCCCACTCATCCTGAGGTGTTTTCGTTGACTTCCAGAATTGGTCGTGGCGGACGTTTTGGCCGAAAGGGTGTGGCTATTAACATGGTGACAGAAGAAGACAAGAGGACTCTTCGAGACATTGAGACCTTCTACAACACCTCAATTGAGGAGATGCCCCTCAATGTTGCTGACCTCATATGAGAGGGCTTTGTCCTGCTACCTTGCCTTGGCCAGGGTCCAGTCCTGGGGGGTGCTGAGGAAGAGCAGGAGGGGGGAGGGAAGGGAGCCAAGGGATGGACATCTTGTCATTTTTTTTTTTTTTTCCTTTTGAATAAATGTCACTTTTTGAGGCAAAAGAAGGAACCGTGAACATTTTAGACACCCTTTTCTTTGGGGTAGGCTCTTGCCCCAGGCGCCGTCTCTTCTCCCAAAAAACACTAATCCATTTCCCGAACCTAGTCACCTCCAGACCCCAGAGGCTCTCCCCACCTGAGCCAAATTCCTCTGAAAATGATTCAATGGGTTATGTCATTCAACCCCAGTTGCTGGACCAAATCTAGAGGGATAATCCTTTAGTGAGGTGGCCCAGGGTTTTGTTCCTAGGTGGGGGGAGCAGGGGAGAGAAAAATGGTAGCCATTTTTACATTGTTTTGTATAGTATTTATTGATTCAGGAAACACACAAAATTCTGAATAAAATGACTTGGAAACTGCCTGTTTGGGCTTCTCATTTCTTACCTCTCCTTCCCTTTCCCACCTGCTACTGGGTACATCTCAGTTCTCCCTTTCACCAGATACTTTTTAGTGTGTTACTTTGTTACCACCTGAGGTGCCCAGATTAATACAGGGCCATTTTTTTCAGTCCTGAGAAAATGGTAATGTTAGCTTAACAACGTGACCCTTACAGTAAGGGGTTGGTTGAGTACTATCACAAGTGAAGTAATTACTTCTAAGGAAGTGATTGAGAATAATCAGTTTAAAGAGGAAAAGAGTGGTTCTACTATATCCAGGGCTTTGAACTGGTTCATTTCAGTTTAAGCTGCTGCTGAGAATTTGCAGTTCTAGTAATTTCCTAGCTAATGCTGCTGGTTCAGGGCCAATTTTAAGAACTAGTAGAGCATTGGTTCTCAAAATTTATTTTACAATACAAATCACTTGGGGATTCTGATGGTTAAGATTGTGTGTCAACTTGGCTGAGCCATGATTCTCAGTGTTTATATGTGATCGCTCCCATGATTGAGTCTGCTGTGAGTAGCTCATCAGTTGAAAAGGGAGTTTCCTAGGGGGCGTGGCATGCATCTGAATATAAAAAGACATTCTGGCTTTTTGCTCTCTGGATCCTGCGGCTGCCTCCTGTTCGTCTGACCTCCGGTTCTTGGGACTGGAGCTATCAGCTTATCTGCCAATCTTGGGACCTTCACAGTCTGTGAGCAAGATTCCTGCTCTTGGGCTTGCCAATCTTGGGTTCGACAGTCCCTGCAGCCACATGAATCGGGAGAAGCCTTGTGGTCTTTCCTGCCAGTCTTGGGATTGGTTGATACTTGTAACCTGTGAGCAAGAGCCATGCTTTCCGACCTGCCAATCTTGGGTTCACCAGCCCTTATGGCTACGTGAGTCCGGAGAAGCCTCTGTCCTAATCCACAGAGTTGGGACGTTCCAGCCTGTACAATCGTGTGAGCTGTTCCTTTGATATAAATCTATATGTTTGTACGCTTTACTGCAAAGCATACAAATATATATGTACACCTAAGACACGAATCTTGTTAAAATGTAGATTCTGATTCAGTATATCTGGGGTGGAAATGCAAAATCTCAGCAGGGTTTTGAATTGCAACCCCTATTGGCAATACTTCATGAGAGGGCTACTGTTTCTCAACTGTATGATTCTGTACTGCTTGTCCTCTTCACAACTGCTGATCAAGTTTTTCTAAGGTAGACGAATTGGTCTCTAAGGACAAACCGCCCCAAAGCTTTCTCCATCTTATACTGTACCCGTGTGATATTTTTGACTTTGCCCTGATACACCTCCCATTTTTGAAGGCAGGGCCAATCCTGTAACTTAATGACAAAAACTTAATGACTAAGAGATTGGTGGCTGGAGCTGAGGTGCCTGAGTCAAGCTGGGGGTTGGTATTTTCTCAGTTACAGGAAGTAAGACTTTCATTTCCTCCTTTTCCCAAACAAGTAGACGGAATAGGGTTGATTGAGCAAACGACTAGTACTGGCAGAGGCTAGTTAGACTTTCGGACTTTGGGTGAGGCGATTCTGCCATGAGGCTGGCTGTGTTTTTCTCTGGGGCCTTGCTGGGGCTACTAGCAGGTAAGAAAGAGGTGACTGAAGGGAGGGAGCCCCTGGGAAGGCATCTGCCTATGGGTTGCTAACCAGCTTCTCCCCTCTCTGCCGAAAGCCAAAGGCGCAGGGAATGACTGTCCTCATAAAAAATCAGCCACTCTGCTGCCATCCTTCACGGTGACCCCTACAGCTACAGAAAGCACAACAAGCTCTGGAACAACCAGCCACAGAACTACGAAGAGCCACGAAACCACCAGTCACAGAACTACTACCACAAACACCACCAGCCACAGACCCACAACTGTCACTCACAATCCTGCCACCACCACCAGTCATGGAAATGCCACAGTTCATCCAACAAGTAACAGCACTGCTACCAGCCCAGGAATCACCACTTCCCCTGAGCCGGGACCACCTCCACCCTCTCCAGGGCCTACCCCAGGCTCCAAGGAAGCTATAGGAGACTACATGTGGCATAATGGTTCCCAGCCCTGTGTCCGGCTCCAAGCCCAGATTCAGATTCACGTCCTCTACCCAACCCAGGATGGAGGAGAGGTAAAGCTAGAATATGGTGGGGGATGTGAAGGGAAGGAGGCAAGTCCTGCTTTGGTTCAAAGGGGAGGAGGAAGAGTAGAGAAAGGGACAAATACAGGGTAGGAATGAGGGAATAGGGAACCGTGGGCGGCACAGCCTTATAGTCTCATGACACTAATCATTTAACTTCTGCAGATGTGGGGCGTCTCTGTACTGAACCCCAACAAAACCAAGGTCCAGGGAAGTTGTGAGGGTGCCCATCCTCATCTGCTTCTCTCATTCCCCTATGGACAGCTCCGCTTTGGCTTCAAGCAGGTACAGCTCTATGACTCCACCCTCATCCCCACTCTGACCCTCCAAGCACCCATCCCTACCAACTCCTTGCTGTGCTCTTTACTATGTGGACATGGATGCCACTTCGTGCTGCTGCCCTGAGCCTTCCTATTCCCCTCCCCAGGACCCAATACAGAGTGTTGTCTACATGAACTACATGGCTGTGGAGTACAATGTATCCTTCCCCAAGGCAACACGTGAGTAACCCTGCTTCCCTTTCTCACTACTTGCATGAGATGGCTGGGCTCCTGAGGGACCTAAGCTGGGGGATAGGGAGGGGGATCTGGATCTGACCCTCACCCTTTCAGAGTGGACATTCTCGGCTCAGAATTCATCCCTTCGAGATCTCCAAGCCCCCCTGGGCCAGAGCTTCAGCTGCAGAAATGCAAGCATCACTCTTTCACCAACTTTCCACCTTGACCTGCTCTTCCTGAAACTACAGGCTGCTCAGCTGCCCTCCACAGGGGTCTTTGGGCCAAGTAAGACCTACTATTTCCTTCCTAGAACTCTCTTGTTGCACTGAAAGCACCTCTCCACACCCATAAGCCAGTTATCTCCATTCCTATACCCCCAAATTTCCCTCTCTCAGACTCATCATGGCTATAGGGCATTTGCCTTCCCCTCTGCTACAGCAGGCTCTGCCCTTTCAGTCCTTTTACTTACTGCTCTGAGTCACCTTGGTAAGCTCCTCACCAGTCTCAGGCACACCCTGTCCAGTTCCCTACCTCCCACCACCCCCCACATTCCTCTCTCCCACCTCTTTATCCCAGACACCACCATTATAATGCTTACTTGCCTTGTCTTTCTGCTAGGTTTCTCCTGCCCCAGTGACCGGTCCATCTTACTGCCTCTCATCATCGGGCTGGTCCTCCTCGGCCTCCTCACTCTGGTGCTTGTTGCCTTCTGCATCGTCCGGAGACCCCCATCCACTTACCAGCCCCTCTGAGCATCTCCCCCAACCTTTGCGTTTCCTCACCATGCAGCTGACTCAAAGACAAAGTCATCTTCCTTCCCTGTCTTGAGCAAAAATAGAGATAATGCAACCAGGAGGAGTCCGGGAGTTTTATTAAATATGACAAATTTCCCTTCCCCACCCCCAGTAGGAGAGTAGTAAAACCTACTCAAATTTTTGTCCTTGGTTTCCCTTGTCCTGCCAGGATTAAAAGCCATGAGTTTCTTTTCACATCTTTCTGTGCCTTCCACGGTTGAGTCTCAGGAAGCCAGGATCTGCTGGTGAGGAGGGATGAAAATGTCAGTGTGTGACCAAATGCCCTCATGGGTTTGGCACCACTGGTGTTGAATCTCCCACACCTCCCCACTTCCTTCCTCTTCTGGGGCCACTGGTTGCTCCAGTTCACCCCACCAATCCAGTGGAGCCAGCCATGTACGCAACCTCCTTCCAGACTCATATACGGCAAAGGGTGCAGCAGGCAGCAAGAAGCGTAGGTGGGAAGGGCACAGCTGTCATTTCTTTTCCAAAGGTAGCACCAGTAGCTCCTGTGCCACCAGAATGTTCTGTCCATTGTGTCCAGGGTTAACTGAACAGTCTGACTAAACCACTGCTGCCCCTGGGATGCTCCTATCCCACCCACCTGCAAAAGGTTTCATCAACCACAGGAGCAAGGGATACTCTGATCTCCATACGCACTCTTAACCTAGGTGCTCCTGGGAACTGCATGCCCTCAGCTTGAGCCACCCAATGAGTCAGTCCGATGCTCCCTGTACCTGGGGAAAGTAGGATGGCACTCTTAGGCAGTTTGTGTCCAGGTCCATTCTAGAAAGGGCGTCCCGGACTGCCACAGTCCTACACCACCAGTGAATGCCAGTAAGTTGGCTGTGGAGTCATCACTGGGAGCCAGGATGGGGATGTTCAGTCCAGCCAGCTGTGGGAGCCTCATGAGGCTACAGAAAACAGCCACTAGGGCCAAGCGGTCTCCACGTGGTGGGGGCCACACCACCGCCCCGCAAACATCCGTAAGACCTTGCAGACTGCGGAACGGAGACACCAAAGTAGGGACTGACAGCATCAAACACGCTGTAGGCACCCAGCTGCCACAGCGTGATGGCTAGGCATACCTCCACCGCGATGGCACTCCGCGCGTCGGTGTCCCAGAGCTGGACTGCGGGGCGCAGCGCTTCCGCCAGGCGCCCTTCCCCCAGCGGGGCTGAGCCACCACTGAACTCCGCTGAAGTCCTTCCTCTGCAGCGGTCCCAAAAAGCACAGGAGCGCGCCTTGGCCTACAGGCGGCGCCCTCGGGCCAATGGGGTGGGAGCCGAAACAGGTCCCTGCCTGGACTTAACGGATGCTGCCAGCCCTGGACGTGGGGTAGTGATTCAGGGACTGGGCCTGCAGGACGGTGGGGGGGCCTTGGGAGGGCCCTCCCCAGAAGCTAGGCTCGCCTGCCCCCTCTCATCCTCTGCACCATTGTCCTGGACCCCGTAGTTGCTGGTACACCCATAATCCAAGGCCTGGGTGAACCAGAGAAGGAAGAAGCGTTGGGCCCTGCGCACAGTTTGGCATCTATGGAGGGCTTCCCGGCGCAGACTGTCTGGAGACGCCGAGACGCCGAGAGAACAGGAGACAGAGAGCTACAGCGCCCCCATCCAACGCCATTTTGGAGACTCCTGTTCCTTCTCTCTCAACTTCGAAGAATATAAAGTTGGCTGGGAGAAGACAAGATGGCGCCGAGCAGGAGGAACAGGGAAAGGCAGGAAGGATGTTTTGCTTCGGAAATGGAAGCATAAACAAAGGCACGAAAGGTGTAACTGCGCAGGCGTACAGCTTAGGCACGCTTTAAAATTCGAACAGCAAGGTGCGTCCATAACAAGGTCTCTCTATGAGACCTATTCTACACTACCGAAGGCAGGTGGTGTAAGAAACAGCGGCGAACGGATGGCAGTCCAGCTCAGTCGCGGGAAAAAGAGTAAAGAGGCGTGCCCAGAGCGCGCATGCGCAGAGTAAGTCAATGGCGTTCTGGAGCGACTGGCGGAAGCAACCTTTGCAATATGGCGGCCGAGATGGATGAGCCGCTGAAACGAGTTCTGGTTCCGATTCTTCTACCTGAGAAATGCTACGACCAACTTTTCGTCCAGTGGGACTTGCTTCACGGTGAGTTCTGCTCAGCATCAGATCCAAGTTCTGCTCGAGAGACCTTGGACCATAAGTGGGGGAATGACTAGGGATCAACTGACGGCTGCGGCTGCTGCCACGCCGTACTGGGCGGAAGTCACTTCCGAGAGGGGCGGAAGTATCTCGGGCTCCACAGAGGGAGGACGCCATAATTGAGCAGGAGGAGGAGTCATCAGATGCAAGTGGTTGTTTTGCGAAGCTTATGCTGCTTTTTGGTGTTCAGCGACAATGAAAGACGAAAAGACTCATTTTACAAAACAAACTAAAAATCTGATCAAATCATTTCAACCGTTGATAAATCGCTAAACTTTCAGGAGCAAGATTAGATTTAATTTCAAACATTTGAGGAGACCATGGTTTCAGGGAACAGTTAGCTCAGTTGGCATAACAGTTTATAAAGAAAATGTTCTACATTCTACTTTAGTGAGTAGCGTCTGGGGTCTTAACAGCTTGTGAGTGGCCATCTAAGATACTCCACTAGTCTCACCCTTCTGGAGCAAGGGAAAATGAAGAAAACAAGATACAAGGAAAAGATTAGTCCAAAGGACTAATAAACCACAAGTACCACAGTCTCCACCAGACTGAGTCCAGCCCAGCTAGATGGTGCCTGGCTACCGCCACTGACTGCTCTGACAGGGATCACAATAGAGGGTTACAGACAGAGCTGGAGAAAAATGTAGAACAAAATTCTAACTCCCCCAAAGAAAAAAAAAAAACATACTGGCTTGACAGAGACTGGAGAAATCCCGAGAGTATGGTCCCCGGACACCCTTTCAGCTCAGTACTGAAAGTCACTCCTTAGGTTCACCCTTCAAGCCGAAGGTTAGACAGGCCCATAAAACAAAACGAGACTAATGGGGCACACCAGCCCAGGGGCAAGGACTAGAAGGCAGGAGGAGACAGGAAAGTTGGTAATAGGGAACCCAAGGTCAAGAAGGGGAGAGTGTTGACGTGGAATTGGTAACCAGTGTCACAAAACAATATGTGTACTAATTGTTAATGAGAAACTTGTTTGTTCTGTAAACCTTCATCTAAAGTATAATTTAAAAAAAAAATTACTTTAAAATTCTCTTTTGTTTATTGTAGTTTAAATGAAGTTTATATTTCAAGTTAGTCTCCCATACAAAAATTTATACGTACATTGTTATGTGACCCTAATTGCTCTCCCGATACTGTGACAACACACTCCTCCTTTCCACCCCTGATTCCCCATGTCCGTTCAGCCAGCCCCTAGCCCTCACTGCCTTCCCATCTCACCTCCAGACGGAAGCTGCCTGTTTAGTCTCTTGTATCTACTTGAGCTAAGAAGCACACTCCTCACGAGTATCACTTTATGTCCCACAGTCCAGTCCAATCTTTGTCTGAAGAGTTGGCCTCAGAAATTGTTTTAGTTCTGAGCTGATAGAGAATCCGGGGGCCATGCTTTCTGGGGTTCATCCAGTCTCGTTCAGACCATTAAGTCTGGTCTTCTTACTAAAATTGGAGTTCTACACCCCACCTTTCTCCTGCTCCATCAGGGACTCTGTTGTGTTCCCTGTCAGGGTGGTCATTAGTGGTAGCTGGGCACCATCTAGTTCTTCTGGTCTCAGGCTGATGAAGTCTCTGGTTTATGTGGCCCTTTCCGTCTCTTGGGCTAATACTTTCCTTGGGTCTTTGGTGTTCTTCATTCTCCTTTACTCCAGGTGATTGGCACCAATTGATCCATCTTAGATGGCCGCTGGCAAGCTTTTAAGACCCCTGACGCCACTCACCAAAGTAGGATGCAGACCATTTTCTTAATAAGCTTTGTTATGCCAGTTGACCTAGATGTCCCCTGAAAGCATGGTCCCCAGACTCCTACCCCTGCTACTCTGTCCCTCAAAGTGTTTGATTGTATTCAGGAAATAGTTTTTGGTTTAGTCCAGTTGTGCTGCTTCCCCTGTAGTGTGTGCTGTCTTTCCCTTCATCTAAGATAACTCTTCACTACTATCTAGTTAGTAAATAACCCTCACCCTCCTTCCCCACCCTCGTAACTATCAGCGAATGTTTTCTTCTGAGTTTAAACCTTTTCTTGAGTTCTTATAATAGTGGTCTTGTACAATATTTGTCCTTCTGTGACTGACCTAAATTCAGTCAGCATAATGCCCTCCAGATTCCTCCATGTTATGTTTCACAGCTTCATCGTTGTTCTTTATTGTTGCATAGTATTCCATTGTGTGGATATACCATAATTTGTTTATCCATTCGTCCCTTGATGGGCACCTAGGTTGTTTCTGTCTTGTTGCTATTGTGAACAGTACTGCAGTGAACATGAGTGTGCATGTATCTGTTCGTGTGACAGCTCTTATTTCTCTAGGATGTATTCCAAGGAGCAGGATAGCTAGATCGTATGGTACTTCTATTTCTAGCTTTTTAAGGAAGTGCCAAATCGATATCCAAAGTGGTTGTACCATTTTACATTCCCACCAACAGTGTATGAGTGTTCCAGTCTCTCCACAGCCTCTCCAGCATTTATTATTCCGTGTTTTTTGGATTAATGCTAAAAAAAAAAAAATTAATTTAACAACCAAAAAAAAGTTTGATGAATCAAGCCTTAAACAGCAATGCCAAAGTCTTCGGCTATTCTGATCGCTTTACTTTAAACCTCTACATTTGCTCATGATCTAATTTTGGAATAGCCTACCTTTCTTCCTCTTTCTATCTGGGAGGTACCTTAACAGGAAGGCCCACTTCAAACATCAGCCCCTGTAGGAAGCCTTTCCAATCTGTCCTTGTCACTTCATGGTGCCTCCCCTATGCTTGGGGGACACTTTAGCTGCATTTATGGCCCGTGAGAGTCTGACTTCCACTGGGTCAAGCTCCTTGGGAGGAAGGCTTCAGAACTGGAAGTATGGGGCATGGAAACGTAGGGTTAAGTCCCTGAGTATGGGCCTGGGACAGTCCTAGGTCTCTGATGATGGAGGCTGGGGTTTAGGAATGAAGGATACAGAGACCTGTCCTTGAGGAAGAGAAGACATGTGACAAGGACCAACTAGTTGCTCAGCGAAGGGAAATAAAGGAGGGCTCTTGGGAGATGTACATGCCAAGGTGGCACTGGCACAAACTGGACTTGACTACTAATCTAAAGGTTAGAAGTTTGCACCCACCTAGCAGTGCTGCAAAAGAAAGTCCTGGCGATCTGCTTCCATAAAGATTACAGCCAAGAAAACCCTACGAAGCAGTTCTGCTCTAACACATGGGGTCACCATGAGCCAGAATCCACTTGATGGCAATGGGCTTGTTTTTTTTCCCTTGGGAATTGCTCAGCTTTATACAAAGAAGCAATGGAAGGCTTAGAAGTCAGGCCAAGGAGTTTAGATATTATTCTATAGGCAATGGAGGATCAGGTGGGAGGGAAAGCATGGTAAAAACTGTTGTGAATGTGAGATGATTTGGAGCACAAGGATCAGGCCTTTTTCCCTGCCCCAAGACAACCCAAAGCCTCCTTGTGCGGGTGTGTCAGGCCTCAGGGAAGGGCAGCCACCCATAGGAGTACTAAGATCTGTACCCCTGGGCTGCCTCCTCAAAGCCTGGAGGCCTACTCCCTGTTTACCTCTTTTTCTTTTCAGTCCCCTGCCTCAAGATTCTCCTCAGCAAAGGCCTGGGGCTAGGCATTGTGGCTGGGTCACTTCTGGGTATGTATCTTATCTTCCTTTCCTGCTGTTGGGATGGGGCAGGGGTGCTGAGAGGCCATAAACTGGGTGGGTCATTTAAGTGGAAATGGGATTTGCGTGCTCCCCAATCAGTTGTGTAGTTGTGTTGGGCTCCCAAGGATGGAAGCACCTCAACCCTTCCCTTCCCATCCTTTCCCCAGTGAAGCTGCCCCAGGTGTTTAAAATCCTGGGAGCCAAGAGTGCTGAAGGGCTGAGTCTTCAGTCGGTAATGCTGGAACTAGTGGCCTTGACTGGGACCATGGTCTACAGCATCACCAACAACTTCCCCTTCAGGTGAGGGGCCCACCCTCTGTCCCCAAGGGTAAATGCCCACAACTCTAGCAGGGGTAGGGTGAGGGAGATAAAAGGGCTGGAAAACTTAAGCCCTTCTGGAAATTCAGTCATTGGGAGTTCCTTCCTATGGAGGCTGAGAGGAGGTCAGCATCCCAAGAACGCCCAGGATGCAGAGTGAGTCAGTTAGAGGTGGGGGCTGCTGAGGAACCAGAAGGGCTGTGGAGGACAACGGAGTCAGAGAATTGTCCCCAGATGGATGAGGTATGGAGGCTCTTCCTGACCCTTTCCAGGCCCAACTTTCCCCCAACTCTTGACTCTGCAGCTCTTGGGGTGAAGCCCTGTTCCTGATGCTCCAGACCATCACCATCTGTTTCCTGGTCCTGCACTACAGAGGACAGACTGTGAAAGGTGCTGAGTATTTACGTGAGAGAGTAGGCTGCGGCTCTCAGGAGCCCTGCTGGGAACCCAAGCCTGGGGAGACTGAGAGCTGGAATGGAGGACTTTGAGAGGTTGATGAGGACTCCTTGTCTCTCTGGCCCCCAGGTGTTGCTCTCCTAGCCTGCTACACCCTGGTCCTGCTGGTACTGCTCTCACCGCTGACACCCCTGGCTGTGATCACCCTACTCCAGGCCTCCAATGTGCCTGCTGTGTTGGTGGGGAGGGTGAGCAGTGGGGGCAAGGGGAAGGATGAGGGGCTGGCTGAGGGGCATGAGCAATGAGAATGTGGAAATTCAGACAAGGAAACCAAGGGTCTCAATTCCACCCCTAGCTGCTCCAGGCAGCCACCAACTACCACAACGGGCACACAGGCCAACTCTCAGCCATCACAGTCTTTCTGCTGTTTGGGGGCTCTCTGGCCCGGATCTTCACCTCCATTCAGGTGAGTGTACCCTTTTCCTCTAGAGGGCACTAAAACCTCATCTTATCCCAGCTAAGGCTGCCTCCTCTATGGAACCTTTGTCCTCAGGGGAACCCTTCTTGGGGTATGCTGAAGGGTGACCTTAGCTCTGTCCTTTACACCTAGGAAACCGGAGACCCCCTCATGGCTGGAACCTTTGTGATCTCCTCCCTCTGCAACGGCCTCATCGCAGCCCAGCTCCTCTACTACTGGAATGCAAAGGTTCCCCACAAGCAGAAAAAGGAACAGTAGGGATGAGTCCATTCCATATTCCCATTCATCCACCCAGCCTCAGGCCCTCCCCTCCAATCTGAGCCAGGTCTGCTGGTGTGGTTTTTAAGCACCCCCTTACCCCCCAGCGCGCACGCACACACGCACACACTGCAACTTCTTGAGCCAGGATTTGTTTTTAATGGGAACATATAGTTGGTGGATCCAGATCCTTAGAAAGGAGAGGCTGGGGGTCAAGTTTTTCAAGCTGACATTTTGACAGTTATTGAGTGCTGCTCCGAGTGCTGTGCGTGTACTGTTAACCCATTTAATCATTTGGCTGAGATTCCCCCGCTTAGCAGCAATTCCCAGCTTCTTGCCTCTTCTGGACAAATGTCTTACCCTGCCCTCCCACCTCTCCCCTTCCCTTCTGACCCCAGAGGACAGAGCCTAGACAGTGGAAGGGACTAGGGGCTTGCAGCTGCCTCCCTCCCCCATCCTGGCTGTCTCCTGGACCCCAGTTGCTGGGCAGGAGAAGGGGGGACAGAGGATGACTAAGGCAGAGCCTCAGGGAGGGGTGAGGAAGTTCCTGCTCTGGCAGGTCCAGGCGGAAGGGAGTGGAGATGGCACTGGTTCCTGCTGCAGTGAGGGGTGCAAGATGGAATAAAGACTGAGACATGATTTAATCATAGAAAATTGAGTTCTTCCTATAAAAAAATAGAACTATAAGTGTTGTGTCGTTCCCCTGGCTTTGGGAGAATGCAGCCTGCCTCTGAACTGTGTGGTCCAACACAGGAAAAGTTTGCAGCTCAGGAGTGGGAGTGGTTCTGGGTGGAAAAGGAGGGTGAAGCCCTTCCTGGGTGGTCCATGTCCACCAGGGTTAGAGGTGGGTTAGGGGAGGGCTGTAGGCAGTGGGAGAGCCTGGGGGTCTGTAGGAGCGATAGGGGTTGAACAGCTCACCCTGGAGCATGGTGCCACTCTGAGGGAGGGAGCACGCTGAGGGGGCCTCAAGTTTGCAGTGGGAAGAGCTGAAAAGAGAGAAACAGAGGGTTAGAGGGTAGGGTCCCCAACAACATGTGGGGTCTTGCACCACGTGGAGCTCCACACCAGTTCTGGGCAGACAGAGGTAAAGCTTGCCACCGCCCACCTGGCTGTCACTCTGGATACAGTCAGGTATAGAACCAGACACTGGGACACTTCAGAGAGGCAAGCCTGTGCAGCCTTGTTGGGGCACGCTGGAGCGGCTTCTGTGTTGTGCGGCTGTTTTCCTTTTGGGACAGGAGATCGGGAAAGGGCAGAGTTGGGCTTGGCCTCTCCTTGCCCTGGAGGCTGGGAGAGGATGCCAGGTCACACTCGGGCCATCGCAGGGAGGGAACAGGGCATCCAGATAACTAGAACATAGTCACATCCCGAGGTCTGTCCTCGGCCCCTAAGGGGCCGTCACCTCCAGGCTGAGATAGAAATGGCCTCTAGGAAGACTCTAGGAGCCATCGGAACTCTCCCACAACGCCCTTCACGGGGCACTGCGGGCGGGGGACATGGTGTCTGTCAGTCCTCAGCTGCAGCCCTCTGCCCCCAGACAGCCCAGCGTGGCCTCTGCTTTGGGTGGGCTCAGGGCCCCTGCCAGACAGGCCTTCTGGCATCGCCCCCCAACCCAGGCGCCAGGAGGGAACGCAAGTTCCTCCTCCCTCACCCCACATCCCCAGCCCACACACCTGTAGCTGCCGGGTAGGTAGGCTGTCGAATAGTTGGGGGGCTGGTACCCAAAGCCTCTGGTCCCTTGGGTGGCCGCATAGACCGGCCCGCCGCCAGCCAGGCCGCCGCCTCCCTGGCTGAAGTGGGGCGGCCTGGCGGTTGGGCTCTTGGTCTTGCGCCGGGGCCGGTACTTGTAGTCGGGGTAGTCGCGCAGGTGCCGGGCCCGGAGCCGCTTAGCCTCTTCCACGTAGGGCCGCTTCTCGTCCTCGCCTAGCAGCTTCCACTGTGCGCCCAGGCGCTTGGAGATCTCCGAGTTGTGCATCTTTGGGTTCTGTTGCGCCATCTGGCGGCGCTGGGCGGAGCTCCACACCATGAACGCGTTCATGGGCCGCTTCACTTTCTCCAAGGGAAGCCTGGCGGCGACCACTGGGCTGCCCGCACCTTCCGGCTCCTGAGACCCCAAAGACAGGGAGGAAGGCGCCATGGGAGCAGAAGGTTCCAGGCTCCAGGCCTGGTCCTGTGAGGAAGCCGGTAGCGACATGGGGGGCTAGGGGAAACCTTAAGAGGGCGTACTGAACGCCCTCCCCTCCAAAGTGAACCGTTGATCCCAAAATCCAGTATCCTGATTAATAAAAGCGTCTTCCTAGTCTGAAGTTATCACGGAGAAATTCGTGTCTTTAAAAAGTCCCCAAGTCCAGAGTCCTTAAAATGGAGACCCTGCTCCCAGCGAAGCGACACACTGAAGAGTTGGTCTTGCTGAGTCTGGTACCCCGAGCTGGAGGCTGTGCTTTTCTTACCCTCCACCTCTCGGGTCTCCCAGTTCACAGTCCCTCTCCTGCTCGTTGCTGGCGACCCGGCCTTCCTTCAGTGAGGCCTCTCTTGGTCTGGAGTTCCTGCAGCTGTGGGCGATGCAGCCCAGGAGCCACAACCCTCTCAGGACTCAACAGTCTGGCTGGCAAACCAGCCCCAGGAACAGCTTTTAAAGAGACTCCTCCCTAGTCCCTCCCAGAAGACCGCACCTTCTTAAGGGCGCCAACATTGCCCCCTCCCCTAGGCAACCCCAGGTGTCCTGTTTTTCCCAGTCCCCAACACTTGTCCTCAGGGTACCACGCCTCTCCCCACCCAACACCTAGATGTCAAGCCTTCCAGCACTGGTCTGGTCGCTAGGAATGTCTTCTCCTCCTTACCCATTGCCGTGGATTCCAACTCATAGCGATCCTACAGGGCAGAGAACTGCCCCACATGGTTTCCAAGGCTTGTAATCTTTATGGAAGCAGACTGCCGTATCCTCCTCCCACAGAGCGGCTGGCAGACAGACCTTCACGGCTAGCAGCTGAGTGTTTAACCACTGCACCACCAGGGCTCCTTCCTCCCTTCTTAAGCATTGGCAATTTAAAAAATTTCTTCCCACAATGAACTGGGAAACATCAACCACCTCCTCCAACCCCTTTTGTGCCTATGGCTCCTCAAACCAGCCCCCCACCCCCCAACCTGCCCCAGAGGCTAGAATGTCAGGCAGAGGGAGGTAGGCCACTTTTGTTTCCTGAGTCATCCCAGCAGGCACCTGGGAAGTGATTCAACCCCTCTCTACAGGTGAGAAAACTCAAGCCTTCCTGGCTCCAGCTCCTAGACCTAGGTTTCTCCACCACCAGGGCATCCAATTATGGCCAAGTTTCTATCTCCAAACCTTGGGAGTCTGGAGGCAGAGCTAGGAACCCCAGGGCAACTCCTAAGAGCTGAAAGGTAGATGATGTGAATGCTGGAGGAAAAAGCCAGAATCCAGGGAACTAGTAAGGAATGAGGGCTGGATGCCTGGCTAGGGGTTGTTGTGAGGGAACCCTGCTCCCACTCTGCCCAAGGCCCAGCCCAAGCCCCAGGCCTCAAGTAATCGGATTAAGCAGCCTGCCTTGGCTCTCACTCTTAGCAGGAACAGTTCCAGCTCTGAGCGGCCCTACCTCGCCCATGCAGTGACTCAGGGTACAGGAGCGGCCCCACTTGGGGAGAGGCACAAGCCACCTTCCTCTGGACCAAGAGGGTGCCTGGGCCTGGGGAATTCAGGAATGTCAGGAACTCCCAGAAGACAGACCATCTTTGGGACACCAGGAAATAAGGAGAAGCCAGGTGTGGAGGAACAGGAAACAAGAGCCAGGGCCCAGGACAGGTCAGCCCTAGAGAAACAAAGGGACCGACTGAACTGGGGACAAGGAAGCCAGGAAGCCATTTGGATTTTTTTATTCTTTTTAAATACTGTACAGTGAAAAATAAATACGCCTTCTCATCCATCAGACAAGGTTGGTCCCCCCTCCCCCTAGGGGACCTTGTCACCCCACTTCGTACACACCCCTGGTTCTACTCCAAAACCTTCCCCGTGCCTCCCACCCACTTATACCCTTACTATCCCCGTCTTCCACAGTGATGAGGCCCCAGAAATGGGGGGTACAGGATGGGAGGAGGGATAGCAGGGGAGCCCCCCTGAACTGTCAAATATGGGTGGGTCAAGGAGCACCCCCCCAACAGGCAGAGAATAGGGGTGTTCAGAGAGAGATTGGGGAGTTAGAGGATAAAGGCACATCCAGTCTGATGGGGAAGGAGAGAGGCTCCCCTCACCCTGGGGGCAGGGTGGACAAGAGGGAGGAGGGTATGACCCTGTTACACACCACTCCACCAGCTCCTGGAGGTTGGGGGGACCCAAGCTGCTGTGCCACCCCCCACCCCCCTAGATAAGAGCAGCTCCAGCGCAGGTCAGTCAGGCCTGGGAGGGCCATGGTGTTGGGCAGCAAGCGAGATGGAGAAGAGAGGGATGCGAGCTGGAGGTTTTATGAAACCCCATTCACCAAACTACCCAACTCCAGGGGGGCAGAGAGCTCCCCATTCTCCGAGGGGCCCTTAGGAAGCTTGCTGACAGAGTCACCCTGAGGGGAGTGGGAAAGAAAATGGAGAAAAGAAAGCAGTAAGTAGAAATTCAGGTGTATGACACGGCCTGCCATCTAAGCCCTCCTGGCATCTGGTTATCTGTCTCTGCAGTCACTCTGAGAGCCAGAAAATCCAAACCAAATTTTTCTCTTGACCACTATTTTAAATGCAATCTAAACTCCATCACACATAGCCTTCTCTGCAATTCAGTAAGAGATTTCTTTGGGAATTTTTTTGAAGCCCCCTGCCCCAGGATACAACAAAAAAGGGGCAAGGGGTAAACATCCTGCCTGCCTACCTTCTGTCCTGAAAGAGAGTCCTCTGAGGGTTTAGTGCGTTCCAGGGCTGGCCGCTGGCGGCTCTGCGACTCTGCGCGCGAGATGTAGTCAGCCACAGTCACTGGGGAAGGCAGAGGGCCAAGTGTTGGCAAAGGAACCGAGGTATCCAGCCCCTAGAGAGCCACTCAAGCCCAATCCCTGGTTTCCAGAGGGAAGGAGCCACCCTATTCTCTCAGCTCTGAGGAAGGATTCTGCACTCCATGCTAGCTCACCTGGCTGACGGTCTCCACTGATAGAACCATCAGTGCGATTACCACGGTTACGCCGACGGCGGCTCCGGTTACGTCGCTGGGGTCTTGACTCATCTTCTATGGGCAGGGAAAAATAAGTCATGCACCCAATCTCCCATCCCTCAATTCTTGCCGTCTGTAATTGTTCAAGCCCCAGGCACACCCCTCACCCAGGCCATTCTCTGTCATGTTGGGCCCATCAGATTCCAGGCCTCCATCCATGACAGTCCTATCTTCGTCAGTGCGGCGGCGGCGGGAACGACGGCGCCTGGCACTTGCTGGGGGTGGTTCTCCAGGCTCTGAATCAACTGGGGGCTCTGGTTCCGACGTGTCCAATAGGCTGTAGGGATTACTGTCTGGATCCTTCAGCACTGGTTAGAGGAAGAAAGGAGTTGGGAGTCAGGTGTCCACCTTGCCCTCAACCTTCCCCTTGGGCCGCATTCATGACTCCAGCTGTCTGGTACCTGAGCTAATGGATGAAGAGTTGTATCTCGAGGTAGGCCGGGGGGCAGGTGGAGGTCCCCGACCTCGGCCCGCAACTGGCCGCCTCCGGCTTTCTTCCCCCCGGGTTGGGGGGTCTCGGTCACCAGGCCCAGCTCGGTTAGGCTCCTCTCTCTTCTCTGACTCTGTCTCAGAAGCTGTGGATGGGTCTGAACTGGGGGCTGAAGAACATGGTGGGGCTCAATCAGGGCCACTCACCCCACCCAAGGGTCCATCACAGCCCCCAATTTGGAAGAATTCTCCCACTCACTCAAGTCCCCCAGCCAACCACCTCTTCATCATACCCATCACCCTTTTCCCCGAGCTCCCACCCAGACCTCTCCCCAGAAGCCTGCCTCTCCTCGCCTCCCCCTCCCATAGCAGCCTCACCATAGGCAGGACCGCCTGTCCTCCGGCCCCGGCCCCGGCCCCCATAGGTTCGAGTGGTGTGGAGGGAGGAGGAAGAGCTCTCGTCAGTGGTATATCCAGCCTTGTCACTGCCACCGCTGCCCCGCCCACTCCCAGGAGGGCGAAAACCCAGCCCAATCTGCCGAAGCTGCTCGTCAATTTGCAGCCTCTCCAAGCGGAGCTGCTCCACCTCCTTGTTGAGTAGAAGACAGAGAAAGGTAAAGAGGAATAAGTATGGGATTGGTGGACAGTCCCCTTCCTTCTTGCTTTCCACCCTGACCATTCCTACATAGCTAAGCTCTCAGAATGTACGGAGAAGGAAAATATTAGCTTAACAGGGAAAATTCTGGGATTCAGTCCCACAGTCCCTAATCTCCACCCAAGTTCCTGTTCTACTCAGAGATACAACTGGGAACCACAACTCCTAACTTCAGGCACCAGCAGTCTTAGTCCCCTTGCTACAGCGCCGCATCTTTCCTCTCCCAGGCTTCGAGCTGGGGTACCTGCAGGTAGGAGAGGTGATATTCCAGCAGAGCCTGTGCATTGCTGATATTCTCTCGGGTGCCGACAAATATGAAGGGAACCATTCCCTGGAGAAAACAGGCAAGGAAAGATGGATCAGGAAGGACAGTCAAAGGGAAGAATAAGCCCCACCCTGTCTCCTGGGGGAGCCCAACCCCCGCAATGGGCTCTAAATCTACTAGCAGAAACAAAGTTTCCATGGCCCACCCCTTAGAAATCCCGGCCCTCAAAAAACGACTTTGAGGACAATCCCACCTACTCCTGGAAGCCAATCTCTAGGCCTAGGTTCCCCATACCTCCTCCCTGGGGTTCTTCTTGTCATTATCACCTTCCACTCGAACCCTCACCACACCAGATTTATCCACAATCTCCTGGATCACTTTACCGTTCTTTCCAATCACTTTGCCTGAGTGGGTAAAAGAGAAATTAAGCTTTTTTGGTTTTGTTTTTAAAGGAAGAAAAGAAGAGTAAAAATATAGTTTTCCAGCCCCATCCCCTGTCTATACAGGGATTCCATTTAATTCACTCTCCTGTTTCTAGGCTTCTGATGAGTTTTCACAGAACAAAATACTATAATTCCTAGATATTTACTCTTCCATTTTTATCAATCCTATTATGGACTATTTGCTCAATCCTTGTGAAACTGGAAG